CGGAGAATCTCGACCCCGATCCAGTCTCCCCCCCTGAGTAAATCACCCCATGCCCCGCAAACCGGGTGCCCGCGTCTGGACCTCAGTGCCAGGCTGAAAGCAATGGCCGGAGAGATGACAGTTCAGGGACAGCATCTTTGCCGATGTCCAGACACGAGCGGTCCTGAGCTTTTTGCCCACTCCCCTCTAAACTTCGTTCGATCCAAATCTCTGCCAGGCAGCAATCAGGCTTAATTGTTTTGCCCGCTATACCGTAGTTTCGATTATGCTCAAAGGCACAGACTACAAGATCAAACGACAGATATTTCCTGGACCATTATTATTCTACTGCCAGTCCCACTCGATCCCGGGCAAAACGGGCTCGGGAACCTGCTCCAACTTGAGCACTGCTGAAGCACCTCCCCAGCCGGCGTTTCCACGTCCCGCTTTCTCCCCTGACATGCTAACCAATTAATGGACCAGTAATTCTTACTACCCTTTACTAAACTCATAAATGATCCCCTCGCGACTCGGAAGTGGAGGAGATTGACTTGAACAGAGACAAATCCCCAGCCCTTCCAGTCCTGCGCAAGCCGCTCGCAGCACGCAGGGTGACCCGTCTCCTTTCACTCAGGGAGCTGATCAGAGGTTGATTATTTCAGTGCCAGGCGCTGCAGAAACAAAGCTGCGAAGCATCTCCAGGAGCGCAGAGCGCGGAGGGGCAGGAACTCGTCCCGGCGCGCCCGCCCCGGCGTTCCTCGCTGCCTCCACCAGCCCGCAAATAAGTGCGGGCACCACGGGAACCGGGAGCTCCCGGTAAGGCGGGACCGGCCCTCCCTGCCCGGGCTGACGGGGGCACTGGCACGGTTTCCAGCTGGGGAGAGGACATTTTGTTTATCCCTTCAGGCGAAAAAAGCCTTTTTGATGGCACAAGGAGGGAAAGGCGCAGCCGGGCACAGGCAGGGAGGGTCCCTCCGGAGCCAGGGACCCTGGCTCGGATCCGACTGCGGATCCGGGCAGCGTCGGGATGGAGTGGGCGGGGAGCGCCGAGGGTCCCCGGCGGGAGC